TGGTCATGTTTGATGATTTGTTCGTTATCAAGGTGATACCCTTCCTGATATGTCCACGGTTGATGGCGACATCTTGTGAAAAATCCCATGATTACCCTCTGGTTATTTAACATGTCTATGGACAATGGCTCATTTACAGATGATTTTCCCAGCTAGAAACCTCCATTTACCATGGATTTTCCATAGCTATGTTAAATAACCAGATGGTAACGGTTTCTGTTCAATGTATTTTTGTGAGCAGATTTGACTGTTTGATGGTGTTAGCTAAAGTTCAGGCTCCCATGTTCAATGTTTAAATCTCATGTTTTCAAGGCTAAAATCATTGTCTCGTTCCGTCTGCTTTTTGCTTAAGTCTTCATTATACATTCGTATTGTATGTGTATATATATGTATATATATTTATATATTTATTATAAGATAATATAATAATATAATATATATATATATATATACTAAGCCCCAAATAGATAGAACAGTGATTTCTCACGCTACTTCTGTTGTTTTTGGAGGTTCTGTAGTATATCCCAAGTTCGACATGTTTATATTTTGCAGCACTGAGGCTGGCTTTGTTGGACGAAGAGCTGCTGTGCGCAAATTGGGATTTGACCTCCAAACATAGGGATTTCACGTACAGAAATAGTGATTTCGCCAAGCAAAAGGGATAGGGAAATGAGAGCTTAAGCAATTAAGATGGAAATATAATGATATCAGCAAACATAGTGATTCAATATTCCCATCAATGATAGTTGGGAATATCACTTAAGCAATAGTGGGGATTCAATTTACAAACACAGTGATTCAATATTCCCATCAATGATAGTTGGGAATATCACTTAAGCAATAGTGGGGATTCAATTTACAAACATAGTGATTCAATATTCCCATCAATGATAGTTGGGAATATCACTTAAGCAATAATGGGGATTCAATTTACAAACATAGTGATTCAATATTCCCATTAATGATAGTTGGGAATATCACTTAAGCAATAATGGGGATTCAATTTACAAACATAGTGATTCAATTTTCCCATCAATGATCGAAGTCAAACTTCCGGCAATATGGACAGATGAAAAGCAGAGCAGGGCAGAGGCAGAGAGAAGAGAAAGATTAGAAGAAAGAAGAGTAGAAGAGAAAGAGTAAGAAGAAAGAAGATGCAGATGCGCGAAAAGGTAGGAAAGTCGCGAAACACTCTTTTTCCAATGATTTGTGGCTCCGGAGGGTCGAAGAGTAGGCTCGCTAAAGCGGCGGGTGCGGAGCCATCTGGCCAGATGAGAGATGAAAAATTGCACGCCGTTGTGGCGCGAAGCACATTTCGAAGTCAAAATGTACAAAGCACACCAGGTCCGGACCACTTTTCGAAGTTGAGATGTCGAAAAAGTGCACGCCGTTGTGGCGCGAAGCACGTTCCAAAGTCAAAATGTACAAACTACACCATGTATGGACCACTTTTGGACGTTCAGATCTCGTTTCGCGTGGCAGGCGCAAGGGATGGCGCACCTTGTCAAAAGTGAGCAAAACGCGAGGGTTTTGTAGCATTTTCAGAAACGATGGCAGGCGTGGGACATTTGAAGAGGATCTGCAAAGATGCATTTGCCGTGGCAGGCGCAGTACAAGAGACATCTTCATCGGAGCTGTTAGGAGGTGAGGGCGCTGATTTCCTCAGCATCAGATCTTCAGGTTTGCTGAGATGATTTTGCGTGACAGGTGCAGCACTTCGCATGACCTGGCATCACTTTTTCCTGGCAGGCGCAGCACTTTAGACAGATGGACTGGAAAAACCGCAAAATGCATTGGTACGAGGCCGTCAGCTCTGCACTCAACGTTCCATTTTTGAAGGAAGTCTCGCAGAATTGCTTTGTTTTT